CAAAAATCCATATGTGTGCCTTAAAGGCCTTTACGTAAGCTTATGCGACAGCCTTCTACGAAGGTTCCTCGTGCAACCTTCCACAAAAAATTTAAGCTTAATTTTGGCATCGAAGTGTGTATATTAAAGCTCAACTACTTTATTTCTGTATACTCGTAGAAGGTACGAAATATTATGACATTTTGTGAAATAAAATGTGACTCACTACGACAATAAATGTTACAGCAGATCTTAGAATGAATAGCTAACATTATAAATAAAAAATATGTTTAAATAAACACAAAAATTTTGTGTGATAATCTAAATATGAATTGTAGCAAAATATAAATATATATTAAATTTTAAGTTTAAAAATTATGTACTTTACGAGATAGCTGCGTTCATAGACCACACAAACAGGACGAGCTGGTCTTGACTAGTATATATATACCTTAGAAGACTATATTGCTGCTCTCAAAATATAACAATTCATACAATATATATAGATTTTCTAACTGAATGTCTTAACCTAACAACTATTCAAATCAATTATTAATTTATTTCTTACACTGTCTTTTAAGTATACATCAACTAGATGCATTACTAACTCCTAAACAAGCAGCTAACTTACTATTCTCCACTAAAAACTCTTTAACACTTGCACACTCAAAAAGTACTCGCATTTTGGCTGGATCTTCGCCACGCAGTTGATACAGACACACAGAACATATATAGTGGAGAGAGGCTGTATGGGTGTGTATGTGTGTGTGTAAGTTATGCGCCAAATTTAAAGCTATACAAAGCGTGACTTTAGTTGGCTGTGCTGTCATTTCTGGCTTAATTGAGCATGTAACAAGTGAATCGTATGCTTTTAGCAGCACACATACGCACCGTAAGCCACTGCCAATGACTGTGAGAAATATATATATATATATATATAAATATATATATATATATGCAAGCATACAATACCAATAGCAGTCCGGGCATCTGGCAACTGGCAGCTCTTGGTTCGGCGAGCACGCATAGCCACCCAGCCACCCAGCCTTTGGTTGTTTTTGGCGAAAACCATATGCGCCCTGTTATATGTTTTGTCAGAGTTTATGTTTGCTGCCAACATATCAGCTGCAGGGTGCAACCCACGCACAGCTACCACAGACAATATTTGGTTGCAAGTGCAACAAAGTGCCCAGCCACATAAACGGCTAATTGCAAACCAACATTATGGCTTGAGGGCGTCAATGCTACTTAAAGTTGTAGTAGTTGTTCACTAAGTTGTTACAGTGGCTCGCCAGAATCTCGCCTGCCTCGTGTCCGTTCGTTTTAGGTGCTCTTCTTTTCCACTTTTCACTCAACGTTACGGAAATCAATCAATTTCCGGCATAGACATTCCAATTTAGTTGCTTTCTCGGCGCAACTGGCGTATTGCAAGGCAAATGAAAAACAACGCAATCGGAACGAATCGATCTATTAAAAGTTATGTCAACTACAACACATGGCCTTGCGGTAACCGGTCACCGCCACCGCAGCAAAAAAAAAAAACAATTATTGTTCGGCTAAATAGCTTTTGAAGCTTAAAGTCACCCTCCTATAAAAACCCCATTTAATTACAAAAATGTGCTTTTGGTGACTAATGTAGTGTAATGTATTCACACTGGCAACTTACCTTAGAGCTACTTACCTTCGAGGTACGCTGTATGTTTGTAGTATAGATATGGACTGTTTTTGACTAGCATATCATTTGAGATCTCTTAAGTTAATTATATTCGCTTTCTATCTGGAATATAATACACATAAATATTCATTTTCATTTTCCAGTTAGTACGGCTCCACGTATTTGGATGATTTGACTAGAGCCATCAGCATTTTCTTCAGCTCTTTGTCTTCTTGGATTTTGAAGAGTCCGTTTTACCTTCAATGCGACGGTAGGAACGTTCGCTTCGTTTGTTGGCTTTGAATTCGGGCCGCCTGTGTCAATCATTTTTGTAATAATAGTCACATTATTTCAACCGACACCTATTGATTAAGATTTGTATACCTTTTGTATTGATATCAACCACTTCGTTTGGTTTACTCAATGCCCTTATACTTTCGTCTATATCTTCGCCAGATATAGGATCGTCAGGGACTAAATAATTGCATAATTTTTTATTCATTTATCCGTTAACAATTTATACACTTTACTTGCCGTAAGTAGTCGAAGCAGTGGCGGCAACAAACAACAATAGTATTAGCAACAGTGGCCTCATCTTAAACAAAAATGATGAAAAATACACAGTTTCGCTCTATTTATAGCAATCTTCCAACTCTCTTTATCGTAATGAGACTTACAGCAAGCGAGTATCGTTACTTGCCGTCGCTCTTGACAAAACACAGTAATACAACAGAGAAGTTAGCTATGTTACCTGTAGTAGCTCCACAGCGAGCGTATCCGATCGATCTAGTGAATGGATGTATCTATAATAGAAAAACAGACAGAAGGGTTCATGAAAAATGTCGAAGGGTTCTAATGAAACTCCAGATAATGTTCAGGATTTGTCAACTCTCTTTTGATTATACAAGATATGGATATCACATATTCTTATTTCAAGTCAGCACCAAACATCTTGTTCCGATGCCTTAGTAGAGTACAATATAATTCATACATTTCATCTTTTATTATTATAATATATAAGCAAGTATATCGATATTTATTACAGCCAATATAAAGCATTTATCAGTGCCCATTACTACGACTACATTTTTCTCATGTCAACAATCACAGTCTGTGCATATCAATTGTTGAAGTCTGTATTCGCAATAGAACAGTGTGTGAAGTAGATAAATTTCTGTGTGATTAATTTACACTTTCATATAACCAAGGCGTAAAGTACATCATCAAAATAAAGGTGAGATTTGTATAATGATCGACATATATATATTTTTTAGGAAGTTTTTAAACAAATCTTTTCATTCTCAACTGGAATCTGTGACCGCTAGGTCATCTTATTATAATTTAACATGGCTATAGCTAATGCTAACTAGTATCAGTGTCTGAGGATTTGCATAAATTTCCAAGTAGAGCACCGCTTCGTTTATTGTTCTATGAACGTCTTGGGATCCTGACGATTTCCCTTAAGACTTTGTTAACGCAGCTATAAAATATTTGTTTATTATTTCGAAATATGTTTCAAGGCATATCAAAATCTTAATAAATACTAAAGAGTCATGATGAGCTGCCCATCCACAAAGCCAGCAAAGACGTTGCCCGAGTTGACAAGCTTGGATCAGCTAAGAGGATAGCAGGCGCTGCCTTGTGCCCGGCATTCCCAATGGATTTTGCAGTTGCTCGTGCGTGTCGACAAGAATTTCAATTTGCAAACAATAAATTTGAACAGCCAGTGGCTCCTCAAAAAATGGCAAGGGGCACAGAGGAGTGCAGTGGAGTGGAGTTAAAGGCACCCAATAAGTGGTCTAAGCACTCTTTATTAAAGAATAAAAAATATTTATATTTTTGCTTAGCTGCGACATGCAAATGACAGTTTGGCAGTTGACAATGCCGTTGATTTGAATGTGCTTTGGTATAAGAATTTGATTGGAACTAAGCCGACATTTAAATATTGGATTACCCACTGTTTGCTTTAAGCTGATTGCGTGTCTGCTCCATAAGACGGCGCCAGACTCCGGCCGGAAGTGCTGAACAACAAGGCGGAAATGAATCAATTTCCGTGGGCCAGACTTTTAAAAACTATAAACCACTTGAAGCACTAAGCACAAAGCAACTATAAAGTTTCCAATTAAAAATGGAGCGAGAAGGGTTCTTCTCTTTCCACATACATCTCATGCGAGTCGTAGGCAACTTCGCTCTGTATTGCAGCGTAGGGGCAGTGCAAAAAAGACGAGAGTTATATACTCGCTCAGAAAGTTGAAGAGTATATTGGTTCTGTGAAAGACTTGACTGACTGACTGGCTGCCTACACTTATGAATTCAATATACTTTAACACTTTACGAAGTTATATTATTGTGAAGGACAATCATTAATTTGGGATTTTCGCCAAGCGATAAAAGTGTGTTATTTGTGAATTACTTAAAATCAGCAGGCTCATGATAGGCAATCAACAAAGATCTGAAAAATATGGACTGCTAAGCAACATATTCACAATTCGAGTCAATTTTTGAGCAAACTATTTAATCAGTATCTTAAATAGTGCCCAATGTCGGTTTTATTGACTGCTCTGCCTACATGGCGCTAGTATATGAGGGCTCCGCTGCATTCCTTGTCATGGTTCAGATGATAAACTTTTCCAAAATCATGAAGGTAACATAACAAACATTCTGGCAAGCAGTCAACATGTAAACGTTTTCATGCCCAACAGTTTGATATGTTGGACGTTGTGATTATACTTCAGGCGATGTGTAAACTCCTTTGTTTTGGTGTCTTCGCCGTTGGTGTCGTTGGCGTAAGTATTATATAAGTGTTAGTTAATGAATTATACTTACTAAAGTAGCTCCACCCACAGCGCAACAAATTGTTAATGCGGCTGTGGCTGCTAATGGCCTATTTACAGATCAGATGGCTAGCCATTGGAGACGTCTTTATCACCATCTTCCATTATTTGTTCAATGACCACGACAAAAGCAGGCAGCAATTTCTGCAAGAGTTATCTGATAATCATGGCCCTCTCATTGGCCAAGTGCTGACTCGATTTGGTATTATATTGATCGCCTATAGATTCTTTAAGTCCCTAGAGCCACGAAAGTCAAAGCAATACGGCATACCGCTTGACCAGGCAGCAGCCGAGCTAAAAGCGAAGTAAATTGCACAGAACCAAGTCTTTTATTGTTCAGCAGTCGTTTGCCAAATTAAAATAATAAGTGTGTGAAGCGTAACAAAGGGTTTCTCTGGACTTGCCGTGCGCTTGGTGACTGTGGTACACTGACATAAATGTGATATATTATAAGAATAAAGGCAAATTCGACAGCTAAGGAGATTGGAAATTAGATTCTATTAGATTAGAGCAGGTGGATAACTTGCCCATAGTTAGCAATGATATCATGATGTTAGTTAGCGCCTCAATGACATCGCCCGACAGTAGCTCCAGGATCCATAAAAAAACAACACCACATCGAATATCATTCCACCAAAGCACCAGATAAGCCAGACCAGCATCAGCTGTGGCTTGTGCTGTGGACAGCGTTCTCAGTGGACAACACATTAGAATAGAGTCTGAACAGCTACTCACCAATATGATTCCAGCGAGCATCAGCATTGAAATAGCTATCCACACGTTCAATATGAACAGGTAAATCCACAGCAACCGAGCACTTACCCTGTTGCCACGGAACGCTGAAAATAGTTTACAGTTAGGATGCAATCGCTGGCAACTTCTACCACATTCCATTCAAAGTCTCACTTGTCACATCCGTCGACTGCTCTTCTTCAGTTGTTGTTCTGTGGCCTTTTCTTTGGCACAGCATGAAAATAATCATCAGCTCAAAGAACAAAGCTCCTATGATGTCCACACAACCGATGGCCAGGCCAAAGCAATTCAATGCGCTCACCATTCTCGCTTTGCATCGAAATGTTTATTTTCTTTAACTTTTATTTCCTCTCTCCCTCTTTCGCTCTCTCTGACTGTCTGTCTGTTTCTCTCTGTTGACAGACAAAACTTAAAGTTAAAACTGCTGCAAACACTTGATTTTGTGCCATACAGCGGATCTACCCGGGCTGACTGCGTACAAAATGAGCGCGAAAAAGTAAATTATATTTGACATCAGGAAGGCACGTAAATGTCTGCGTGTGTGTGGATACATATATGCAAGTGCACGTATTTCATCAGCCTGGCATTATAAGTATAAACGTATATGTATTTATGCACACATTTTTTGCATAAATAGACAAGAGTTCGCAGGCTACCGACTACCAAGCCAGTCCCTTGACTTGCGCCAGCTTCGAGTTCTGAGTTGCTGTTTCCGTTTCCGCAATCGTTTTTTGTTTTTGTTTTTTTGCTGCTGCTGTGCAAATTATTTTAAAAGGATTTTGTTTTTAACATTTCCAAATGGCTGGGTGTGTGTGTGGGTGCGTGCGTGCATGTTAAATGGAACACTATTAAAGCGCGCGATGGCTAGTCAAAGGTAAGACACTAAAGATGATCCTGCTGATGATATATATAAGTATTCCTACAATCGAAGCACGCTACACAAGGGCTGTTTATACACAGACTGAACTGACTCCAGGTTAATCAGGATGAATCGACAGTATAAAGCAATAAATTTATTAAAAATATAAGCCAACTCAAGAACAACCTTAAGATTTCAACGTTCTGCATTATTTAAGGATCGATTTTGTTTCTGCATTGGTCCGCAGGTGTAGGTGTTGGGGCATGCATCGGCGTTAGTTTGCAATATGTTGCATCTGTAGGATCGGTAGCTTCGACAAGGCGACACAGTACTAGCTTTTGATTCTGGCGGTAGCTCTGCCTTTGGTTGCGGCTCTTCCTTTGGCTGTTGTACCACCTTTAGCAGCGGTGGGTCTATAGGAGGCTGCTTACTTTCCCGGACAACTGGAATGCGTTCCGAGAGCTCTTGATAGAATTGATAGATAATTAAAGCAAAAAATGTTTCAACAACTGTAAGAGACATCAAAAGTGAATAAAAAAGTTAATTTATATGTATGCAAATATGTGTGTAACGCTATTGCTCACATAAACCAATGAATAGAGTCAAACGATTGTCAACCACTCCTATTTGAAAAGTGCTCTTGCCAAAGAAAGCATAAATCAACAGACAGATCTCTATGACAATGCCCACACATGAGAATATAAGCCAATATCTGACGAGCTTCGATTTGCGCTGCAAATAAAATTTGTATTTTATTGAAATTAATAAAGCTCAACTACAACTTACGCTATAAATGCCATAGATAAGCAAAGCAATCAATGTTAACCAAAACATGGCAAAACAGACGGCAAATATGGTTAACCAGCTTAACTGTAATACGGAAACTAGAGTATAGTCTGTTAGGCTTACTCGACTCGAGCTTACATGTGAATAGATTTTGAACAGACTGAGTGCAGCGAAGAGAACAGCACAGAGCAGATCGAAAACGGCTATAGCATAGGCGCAATATAAGAGCGTAGTCTTCTCCGGCTGCATGACGACATTTGATAGCTTATCCGAGAACGTTGAGCAGCAGAAACGCTTGGCCTACTTTCCATTTTCCCGACTTGACAGAAAGGCATAAATTATAGGTGTGCTGTGGTAATTAAGGCTGCCCTCTACGCAGCTTACGGTGTGGCTCCTTAAAGGCAGCTTTCTCGTCTCTCGTGTACATTTTCCTTAGACGCTTGCGCTCCCTTCGCAGTATTCCAGCACTACTAGAGGTGTATTTGCTGTGCTTTAAGCTACAGCCGGCTTTAAATCTGGTGTATCTCAGTGGTATCCACTGCTCACTCTCAATAATATCCAGGTAGAATACGTATATAATGAACACGAAAGTCATTTCTACAGCTGTAAAAGGATAAGGCACTTGACACCCAAGGCGTTTGGAAAAGTCTTACCCAACCCAGCGAATGGCATAACGGTCAACTTA